ATTATTAGGTTGTCAGAATCCCAAAGAAAGTTGTTTCTTTTTGTCCTGTTTTTTGTTAGTTTTTTTTAATAATGAGGAAAAAGTCCACACTTCCGGTGCAGAGGGAGCGCTTCCTGGTGGCTGAATCCCTCAACAAATATATTCAAATGTTTTTATTGATGGATATTCCTGTTCATGTGAATCATGCCTCGTAAAAAGGAGCTCTCAGAAGATTTACGAGCCAAAATTGTTGATTTGCACAAAACTGGAAAAGGGTATAAAATAATAGCACGCACTTTAGGTATTCATCTCTCCACAGTCAGGGAGATTGTGCATAAATGGAGACGATTCAATACTGTGGCTACTCTGCCGAGAAGTGGACGCCCTACAAAGACGTCTGCAAAGACAAAGATCATCAACGAGGTAACCTTAATAATCAGTCTGCAAAAAGTAAATCGTGCAGCCATGCGTGCATAAAGGCACCTCTGCGGGGCTGCAGCGAGTCATCAAGTTGATTAAAATAACTGGATCACAAAAATAATACATAAAACATCTTCGACGCATCTTATTTATTTAATTATTTATTATTTTATTCATTTTTTATTTTTTTGCTTCGTTGCTTCGTTTAAATTAATGCACGACTGCGTAGATCTCAACTTATAAAGGCGAGGGTTTCTCCCACGTTTGCAACTAAAATAGACCTGCAGGAGAAGATGCATCTGGGAGCATACGTGTGAATAAAAAGCTTTACAACATTAATGCAGGCAGTCCCCATGTTTTCAACGAAAAAAGACTGGTAACACACCGGCAGCAGTGAAGATGATGCTGTCATAGTTTTTTATGGGATCTGCACACCCGGCAGAGAGATGGAGCCATTAGCTCAGGTGGAGCGCTGTTCCTATAAGCGCCGTTAACCTTTACTAGAAAACGAGCTCCAACGTGAAGAAAAGAGAACCTTTCAGAACCTCCCACCCAGCGCTGTTTGTTTTAAACAGTGACAAAATCTACAGCAAATCCACAGAGGTCAAAATAAAAGCATATGTACACTCTTAACTCAGTGTGACATGATGGTTAAATTAGTCCCACTTTCTGCCAGAGTGATTCCTAATGTAGGTTAATATAAATATAAATTAGATTACATAAATGAAAATGCTGATATGCTGCGTTAAATGCTCAAACACACACACAAACACGTTAAGACACACCAAATCTGCCTCATCCAGGAGACAACACTGTCAGAGCTCTTTATTAATATAAGTCTTCCAGTAAGACCGAAACTAAAGACTATTTTATTTGATGGCCTTGTTTGGGTTGTATTGATGCTTTATTATATTGTATTGTGATTAATTATTTTGTTAACGTTTCATAAAATGTTTCCTTCATAAACTGTTAGTTAAAGTGAGTTCAACTGTTAAAACATTGTAACTTGTAAAATGGAAACTAAGGAGCAGTTTGTTTTATTTTTTTATTCGTTTGAATATTCACTATTGCCGAGACAAAAGTATTTCTAATCCGATAAGTCATTTAATTGATGGAATAATTGATAAAATCCTCAGTTACTAAGGAATAAATAGGTGCAGCCCCACTTTTAACACTGAAGGAATGTGCTTTATCTAACTCTAACTGACTTATATTTTGGTCGGCCATTATTATCCCGCCATAGATTTTTTGGTAACAGCAGTTGTCACGGTGGGGAACTCCGGGGGGTTAAAGGAACGGACCCAAAAGCAGAACACGAAAGAAAACTACTTACTGGTTAAACAAAAGGCGAGCCTTTATTACGAAACTAAAACCTAAACTGAAAAAACTAGCATTGGCTATAACAACTCCATCCATCCATCCAT